CGGGAGCCTCCAGAACTTTTATAGGGAGTCCAGTCTCCTGTGGACCTAGGAATGTTTCAGAGCCTGACCTCAGTGCCGTGCCATGGATTGAACCTGGCAATCTGAGCGAGGAACTGAGCTGGCTCCTAGGCCTGGTCATTTGCTCTCTTACTTTCTTATTGTCCTGAGCTTCTGAGTTAGCTGTTCCTGCTGTGGTGGGAATATCACTGACCTGCAGGACCTGACAAGCCCCAGAGGATTCTGCCGCTGCCTGGGACATCATAACCCTGGCTGCTAGACCTGTGTAAGAAACACTACTGGTGAGCATCTCCTCCACCCTGCAGTTGGGTTTGAAGACAAATGGCCTACCCTTGCTCCAAAGACTAAATTTGTCCTGGAATTTTAAGCAATTCAGCAAGAGATAGGTGGTAGATAGAGCTATTATTAAGCACCTACTATGTGCCATGCACTGTGTTAAGTGTGGAGAATACAAATAGTCCTACCAGAAAGCACCTCGATTTGAATTTGGGTCCCTGAGGCCCTTTGAAAGCGGTGTTCCTTACAACACTCTTTAACCAAATTTGAAGGAAGAGGTTGTAATGCATCCTGGGGCTATGAAAGATTTCAACAGAGACCGCACTGTGAAGTCCAACAGAAAATTAAAATCTGTTTCAAAACTTTCTAGACAGACCCAAATCAAGGAAAATAAAACTCACACTGAGACCCGTAAGTCTGCCAAGCCTAGAGTTATGAGGCCAAAGGACAGGAATCTGTTTCCCCCAAGATTCACTCAACCTCTGTTTTGGCAAGTGGTGTAGAGATTGGGGGCGCCCCTGGAAGTTCACCGAAAGGAGAACATAAGTCAGTGGCATGTAGCCCGGTAGAGAGTTGGGGAACGGGCATGGAATTTTTTTGAGGTTTTACATGAAAACCACATTTAATGTTCTATCCAAATCAAGTTACCTTTTCTTTTCTTTTCTTTTTTTTTTTTATTTTGTTTTGTTTTAGGCAATTGGGGTTAAGTGACTTGCCCAGGGTCACACAGCTGGGAAGTATCAAGTGTTTGGTCTGAGGCTGGATTTGAACTCAGGTCCTCCTGACTTCAGGGCTGGTGCTCTATCCACTGCGCCACCTAGCTGCCCCTCAAGTTACCTTTTCTATTGACTGCTTTTATAGAAATTAAGAAGAGATGTCCGTAGATTGCTTAATTCATACCCTTTCCTAAATATGCAGGACTGTATCCTGATAATTGTCTAACTGGATGGCCCAGTGATACTGGGAACTATTTTTCAGATTACTGCAAGTGGATTCATTCTCTCTCTCCCCCTCCTGCATTTAGTAAACATTGAGCATCTACTCTGTACAGTGAGTTACTTGGTATTAGGGAAAAAAACCAGTTGGGTAAGACATGCCTCTGCCCTCTACAGAGCTTCAGCTAGCAAAGCATTTATTAAGCTTAGTCTTCAATTAGTAAGTACTTCTTTTTTTCTTTTGTCTTTTTTTAAACAAACATTTATTAAGCTCATTATGGTCTAGATACTATAGTAGGTACTATGGCTACAAAGACAAAAAGAAAAGAAAAGAAACACAGCTCTGCTTCTTCCCCACATGCTTATGTTCTATCAAGGGAGAAAAATATAAAGATAGGAGTTTGTACAAAATCGAGACCAAATAGATAAAAGGTAATTGTATAGGGAAGGCACTAGCAGCTGGTGGGGATGGGGTAGGGATCAAATAAAGGCCTCGTGTAGAAGGTGATGCTTGACCTCAACATGGGAGAAATCTAGGCATCCCTAAGAGGGGCGGGATGGATGAGAAGTGAGTGCATTCCAGGCATGGGAGCAGTGCTTCTGCAGGAGCACGGAAATGAGAGATAGTGTGTCATGTGTGAGGACCAACAGGAAAGGTCAGTTTAGCTGGACCACCGAATGCTCCAAGGGGCGTAATGTACCATAAGGCTGGAAAGGTAGGTTGGAGACACGTTATGAGCTTCCGGCTCCATTCCTAACTTGGTCTTTTTCACCTTGACAAACGTCTTCCAGGATCCATATCGTCACTTAGGCACGTGTTCCTTTTTTGACTTTCCCTGAAATCTCTTTACAGTGAAAAAAATAAATAAAAAATGATCTGCCCTCCCACTCATCCTTTTATCTTTCCCCTTCTGCTTGCCGCCTTCCACCCCCACTCCTCTACCTTGACAGATTTTTTTGTAGTAAACCACTTTTGGTTGGAGTAGAAACCTTTCTTCCTTCTCCCCCAAAAGGAAATTCTTATATTCTTACTTGAGCAATTGTGTTTTTATAACCCGGTAAATTATAGATTGCTAAAACCCAAGAGGGTGGGTATGACATTCTTTGATCGACTGTCAGATATCCTGAATCTCTCCCTTTTGGCAGCCTTTTTCTGACTGAGTAATATGTGTTGAGTGGGGAGAAGGTGTGCCCGCTCCCCTCTTAACATTGGAGAGTGGGCTCTCCTTTGTCTCCCACTTCATGAAGCTGATGATACTCTGGGAGACAGTTGATGGAATTGTCTTGAAGAAGTTTGATGTTTTTGTGCACATTCATTTCATTTTGGAGTATTCAGTATCAACATCTATCACCCTTAGGGATGACAGATAAATTGTCTGCCAGGGTGCACCCAACCTTGATCTGACTGCTGTTTTTGCTTTAGCCCCAGTCCGTTTACAGGGAAGCCCTTCTCAGGATTGCTTTGCTGGTTGGGTCCAGCGTGGGGCTGGACTGGAGGAACTTCTGGGTTCTAATAATTGTCTCTGGTAGATCATTTAATGCTTTTACAGTAGCTTTCCACACTGATTTAAAATGTTTTATAGAAGAATTTTAATTAACTTTGACTTTGTGTTCTTTAAGAAAACAGGGAGCTCTGAAAGCCTCTGACACTGGCAGTGTACCCTAGGCAGATCACTTAACCTTTGTTTGCCTCAGTTTCATCATCTGTAAAATGGCTACAATAATAGCAGCTGCCTCTCAGGGTTGTTGTGAGGATCAAATGAAATTATATTTGTAAAGTGCTTAGTTCAGGGCCTAGCACACAGCAAGCATTTAATAAAGGCTTGTTTCCTTCTTTCTTTTTCCTCTCCCTCCTTCCCTTCCCTCCCTCCTTTCCTTCCTTCCTTTCTCCTACCCTCCCTGTCTCTTTCCTTCCTTCTCTTTGCTTCACTTCCTCCTTCCTTCCCTTCTTCTTTTCTCATTTATCAGATCAAGGTCCCCAGTGCTTAGCCTAAGGCCTGGTACATAGTAGGTGCTTAATAAATGCTTGCCGACTGACTTATCCTAGTTCTTTCAGGAGTTTGTAGGTGTTACATTCAAGGTTCTGATGTGAATGATGGTCTTTGCTTGTCCTTCTTGTTTTCTGTGTGTGAGGTGTCCTGCATCTTTCTGGATGCTTCCTTGAGCAGCTCCTCGTAGGAATTTGGTCTTCCTTTCCCTTGAGGTTTTCCTCATCTGCAGGAAATCTTTGCTCTCAACAGTGCTGACCATCTCCCTTACTAAGATGGGGGCCCCCTTCCGTTGTATCCCTTGTCTCTTATTCTCCACAATGAAAGACATCCCGGTAGAATCTAAGACTTTTGAGGGTGGTAAAGACTGTCTCTTTTTTTTTTTTGCTTCTGAATTTTAAGCAACGGTGCCCTGCACATCAGAGGTGCCTCATAAATGTTTGTAGAATTGTTTAATTAAGGATAGAAACAGACAAGTCTGTGCTTTTGCATCTAGCTTAAAAAAAAACTGTCCTCTGAATTTTGACCCTAAAGTTAAACTCTAAGAGTGTGGTCTATAAATGAGTAACAGGCAAGGTTCTGTTTTACTCCTTCTGTCCCTAAGTTGGACAAAATGAGGAGCCTGCAAGTGTTTGTAAGACGTGGAGGCAAGATGGTACAGTGGAAAGAGAAATCAGATGACCCGGGTTCGAATTCTGCTTCTGAGGCTTCTGTCTGTCTGATTTTTGGAAGAGTTATTTAACTTTCCTATCGGCCTCATTTTCCTCTCTGTAAAATGAGGTTGGACTATGATGGCTCAGAGTTCCCTTCTAGCCTCGATTTATGATTCCAGTTTGTGTCATGGTGAGATGGGTGGGGGGTGAAACTTGTAAGCCTTCACATTTAAATCTATATTAAATAAGTCACTCTAATCCATTTAACTTTTGAGCACCCAAAACATTCCAGACTTTCAGTTTATGTTGTTGTTCAGTGATTTCAGTCATATCTGACTTTCCATGATCCCATTTGGGGTATTCTTGGCAAAGATACTGGAATGGTTTGCCATGTCCTTCTCTAGCTCATTTTATAGATGAGGAAACAGAGGCAAACAGGGTGAAGTGACTTGCCCAGAGTCGCACAACTAGTAAGTGTCTGAAGCTGCATTTGAACTCAGGTCTTCTTGACTCCAGGCCTGGCACTCTATGCACTGCACCACCTAGCTGCCCAGCCTTTCAGTTAAACATGTGTTTGTTAAGTATTAATTATTGTAAGAGAGGCTATATGATTTAGTAGATAGAAGCTGGCCTCTGACATATGTGGGCTGTGTGACTCTGACAAAGTCATTTAGCCTCTTGGGTCCCCAGGAAGCTCTGTAAGATGTTAAGTTGCAGAAAATCAGCAGTTGTAGATCTGAAGTGGTCTGAAACGAGAAAAACAAACCAAAAAAACCTCTGCAGATCTATGTCTGAGACACTGTGTTCAGTCCAGAATATGTGTGTGTGTGCGTGTGCGTGTGTGCGTTGTAATGCCCATCTGCAATTGTAGGGTCTCAAGACCAAGGACTGGAAGAGACATTAGTGCTCATCTCATTCAAGCCACTCATTTTATAAATAAAATTAAAAAAAAAGGGAGCCTGACTGTCACGGTGGGGTTTACCATCTTAGATAACATTCTGTCGCGTTGAGATATTGAATAGTAAGATTACAATATGCTTTTTTTCCTTCCCCAGAAGCTAGAGATTACATGTTTTCTGAATCCTATGTCTAACAAAAAATTAATGAGTGATGACTTTGTTTTGTTTTAGGGGAGCTATCCAGTTTGGGAAGATTTTATAAACAAAGCAGGAAAGCTACAATCCCAGCTTCGGTAAGTGGACATATGTTATTTTTCTTCCAGGCTGTCCCAGAACTGTTATTTTTATTGCATTGATTGGACACATTTAGGGCATCATTAGAAAAGTAATTTGAATGTTATGTGTACAAGTATATAGAACCTAATGGAACTTTTTCTTAAATTAACACCATATTAAGGTTTAGTATATTAAAATGTCATATTAACCTAAGAGTCTGGTTTAGTGAACAGGCACTGGACCCCAAGAATCAAGAGACTGGTGTTTTAATCATTGGCTTACCCATTAAACTTACATAAAGTCACTTAGTTTCTCCATCATACATTGAATTCTTGCTGTGTTGACTTTATAGAGTTATTATGAAGTTTATATGAAAGTTCATATGAAATTATGTAATGTAATTGTGAAAAGTATAAAGAACTATTATAGATACAAGGGAGAATTAAAGGGTAAGTGGATAGTAGTTTGTACTTGAAGATAGGAAGGACCTAGCTTAGAATCCCACTTCAGACACTTATCAGCAAATCAGTTAAATTCTCTGAGCCTCATTTGCCTTATCTGTAAATGGGGATAAGAGCATCTAATTCACAGATTTGTCCTGAGGCTCAAATGAGACCCCGTATTGTAAAGCACTTTGCCAGCTGGAAAGTGCTATATAAATGTAACTGCTATTATTATTACTTTATGGCAAGCTTTCTAGTGCCTTAATGTAAAATATTTATATAAATATATGCACACTTAACCTTTATTATCCCATTTGATGTAAAATAGAAATGCTTATTTCAAAATCTTTCATTTAAATAAATTAAAGCACTTAAAACATGACTGTTTTAAAATACTTATTTCAATAATTTTCATTCACCATATTTGGTGATTTTGTTGACTACTTTGAGTTTAGAAATATGGTTTCTTGGTGAGCCTATTAGTTAAGTATTTTGATGAATGAAAAGCCTCTATGCTGGCAGGGTTACCAGAGAGAGTGATCAGTAAGCACTCTTAGCTCAGCAATTCAGGGTGAGTGAAGGACAGGGGATGAAGAGATCATTGTTCCCTTACAGTTAAATGGAATGAGCCTGCCATCCGCCCCAAGTCTGTGAGGCCTCTAGACAACTGATTACCAACTGCTGGTCATCCATGATACTTATTATCAAAGTTCTTTATTGCTTAAAACCTGTAAACTTAAATAAATAAATGTTAAAAAACATGTGTATGTGTGTGTATATATGTGTATGTGTGTATTTATTTATCCCTCCCTTCCTTCCTTTTTCCCTCCTTCCTTTCTTTCTTCCTTTCTCCCTCCCTCCTTCCTTTTTTCCTTCCTTCCCTCCCTCCTTTTCTTTCTTTCTCTCTTTCTTCCTTTCTTTTTTCTCTCTTTCTCTCTTTCTCTGTCTCTTTCTTTCTTTCTTCCTTCCTTCCTTCCTTTCTCCTTCCTCTCTGTGTCCTTTTCCTCTGCCTTGAGCTCCATCCTTTTCTCTATCGCTGCTCCATGAACCATGGATAATTAGCTTTGCTCATGGAATTTAGAAAATATTTAGATAATTCATTATAGTTTGGTTTAGAGATTACCACTTCAGACTACACACTTGGGAATCCCCTTACTGTCAGGGAACACCAGAAGATGAGTGGGTTCTTAATATGGGTTGTATTTTCTAGTTGCCAAATCCCTCTTTAGTCCTATTCAAGACACATGGGCTTGGAAATTCTGAAACTGAACTCATCATCTCTTTTCTACAATGCCATGCCTTTTCCTAAAACCCTACACGTCCTTCCTTTAACTCCATTTCTGTTAGAGTATCTTCAACATTATTATCAGCCAGCATTTACTGAGTGCATACTTATGCTAGGTGCAGTGTTGGGGATACAAAGAAAAGCAGAAACATAGACCCTGCCCTCAAGGAACTTCCATTCTAATGGGGAAGACAACTTCTACATAAATAGGAATATTCAAGACAAATACAGGGTAGATGGAGAATAGTTTTAGAGGCAGAGGCTCTAGCAACTAGGGGGACTGAGAGAAGTCTTAAAGGAAGCCAGGGATTCTCTGAGGCAGAGATAGGGAAATGGAACACTCCAGTCATGGAGGTTAGCCATTGAAAAGGCAGGGAGACCAGAGATGGAGCACCGATATTTGTAGGCTAGTATGACTGCAATGTAGGGTGTGGAGGGAGGAGGAATCTGTAAGAAGACTGGAAAGATGGGAAGGGGTCAGGTTGCTTAGTAATTTAAATGCCGTTAATGTCCTTGTAGTCCCCTAAGTTTGAAATTTTGGTTGCCCATGTAGATCAGTGGTTAGCAAAGGCTCTGCAGTGAGTTCTGCGAAGCGTGTCTTGAATTGTAGTAGACTCAGCCTTGCATACACAAATACAAGTCTCCCAACTCTTCCAAAGGCTGCTCCAAATTGAACAATACAATACTATGTCATAGGCAGAAAAAAAAAAGTTTGCAAACTACCAGTATAGATTATTTTCTTCTTAACTGATTCTTCATTCATTGCCTCTTGCATTTATTTCTCTTTTGCTGGTACCATCATTCCTAGGCCAGATGTGTTTAGCCTCTCATTCCTGAATGACTCCAGTGGTTTTCTATTTGATTGTCCTGCTGCCAGTGTTTCTCCACTGGATCTGGATCCAGAGCCCGTTTCTAATGGTTACTACCTTTGTGACCCTAGGAAAGTCATTTAATCTACCTATGCCTCAGTTTCCTCAAATGTCAAATGAATGGCTTAGACTGGGTGGCCATTGCATTCCCTTCCAGCTGTGGCTCTGTGATCCTTCTAATCAATTTTGTACCCTTGCTGTTATGTTAATATTCCTAATAGCCATTTTCATAATTTCTCTGATTACAACCTGTAGTCATTTCCTGAATCTAGAGGCATCAGTCTAATAGTCAAGGCCCTTTGTCGTTATTCTTCATTCGTCCCTCCGTAATCTAGCTGGACACTTCCCACATGGGATTCTGTGGAATGCGGGTGCTTTGTGATATGACTAGGGGTTTGATTCATCAAGCTTTAAGTAAGGGCCTGCCGTGTGCCAGGCGAGGCATTGTGCTAGGCCCTGGGGATACAGAGACAGAAAGGAAGTAGTTCCCACCCTCAAGTAGTTTATTGGGTTGGAAGGTCTGAAAAACAGATGCGCAGATAAATATACGCAAAATATGGGTGGTGTACTTGAGGGTAGGGTTGTAGAGAGTGAGTCCTGACAACTGGGGAGATCAGGCAAGGCCTCATGTCTTGAAGAGAGTTTGGGCTTCCAGACGGAGGGTGCATTCCCAGATATGGGGCACAACTTATACAAAGACATGGAGACAGGAAATGGAATGTCATTTATGGGCAGCATCAAGTAGGTTCTTTTGGTGGGTATGTAGGTATTGTGAGGTAAGAAAATTTCAGTACTAGTGATATTTTTCCCTCTAAAATGAAATTAATTATGCATATAGTATATTTTTATGTGAAAACAGTCTTATTTTCTGCTTCAAAATCTTCTGAAATCTTCTCTCCTCCTTCATGAACCCTTTATGGTGGTGGTGGTAGTGGTAATTCATGTCCTTGGTCCAACATTTGGTCGCCCATGTAGATCAGTGGTTAGCAAAGGCTCTGCACTGAGTTTTGTCAGTCAGTGTATTTAAAACCCAAAGGTGTTCTGAGGCCAAATGTAGGTTTGAGAAATGCTGATGTAGCTGACCCTATATATCATTATTCCCCAACATAAATCATGTCAGAGAAGCCTAGAGCTTTCAAGATTTAGCTCTAAAATCCCATTTCATACATAGATGAATGAAAAAGCATTCATCAAATACTTACTGTGTGTGAAGCACTGCGCTAGGCCCTTGGAACAGAAATGCAGAAAACAATACAGTCCTTGGCTTCAAGAAGCTTCCATTCTAATAGGGAAAGACAACATATAAAGAGGAGTGGTGGCCAAAGGAGGGGTGTTTTGGTTGGGAAGTCATAGGAATGGTGGAATCATAGGGTAGTTTTTGTCCTTTCCAGGAATGTTAGGATTGACTCGATGGCATTTCCCAGAGCTAGGGGACGGGGAGCAGAAGCAGCACAGTGTGTCTGGCTTGTTTTTGTTTTTGTTTTTTTTAAGGGAGAATTCTCTTTAATTGGGAGCATAAGGCTTCAGGGCTGGAGAGATGGGAAGAGGCATGGCATGAAGAGGGCCAGAGAGCTGGTCAAGAAACTGAGTTTCAGAAAAGGGAGATGACTTACCCAAGGTCTCGTAGCTGAGAAACAGCGAGCTAGCCTGGGAGCCCAGGTTTTCCCACTCCCAGCCTAATGATATTTCTGTACCATCATGCTACATGCACTCTTACTGCTCCTGATTTACCTCCCTCTCCATTTTTCCTCATCTTCCATCTCAGTTCCATATTTAGGGTCAGTGGCTCGTAGTCCACACTTCTCCATTGACAGATAAGGAAATTGAAGCCCACAGAGCTCCAGCGACTTGCCCAGAATCACACAAGCATGAGTGGCTGAGCTAGGATTCAAATCCAGGTCTTTGTTGTTCCATTGTGTCTGAGTCTATAACACCCCCCCCCCCTTTGGGGTGGTTTCTTGGCAGAGATACTGGAGTGGTTTGCCATTTCCTTCTCCAGCTCATTTTACAGATGAGGAAACTGAGGCAAACAGGGTTCAGTGACTTGCCCAGGGTCACACAGCTAGTAAGTGTCTGAGGCAAGATGTGAACTCATGAAGATCAGTCTTCCTGATTCCAAGCCCAGTGCTCTTTCCACTGAGCCACTTAGCTGCTCCCGAAATCCAGGGCCCCTGACTTCAAATCTGGGGGCCCTTCCACAGTGTCTCTTTTGAAGCCCAGTTCAAATCCCAGCCTCTTCCCTGATACCTTTTCTGACTACCTCAGATTCTAGTGGGCTTTTATTAACACCATATAACCTATAACACAAAGAGAAACTTGATTGGATTTTTTTTTTGTACCTACCAGAAACAAGACACATTTTGTCTTCCTGACAAGTTTAAGCTTCTAGGGGTCAGAGATCATTTCTTCTTCTCCATCCC